TGTCTCTGTGTGTCTCTCTGTGTCTCTGTCTCTCTGTGTTTTGTTTTTTCTTGGTTCTTTCTTCGTTTATTTTCACCTTCTTGTAAATTTAACGTCAGTTTTGTGTCTGAATAAACGATCAAGTCACTTTTGACCTAAAATATATTTTGACTCAGTTTTTCACTGACATGAATTTATTAACCATCATTATTCATTTAACACATTTCAACTCTAACTAAACCGAATACTGTTTATACACGATGTCTCTTCATTCTTTTTAATAAGTAAAGTCACACACACACTCTAAATAAAAAATATCACATCTTGTATTACAATAAAATCTTTGAGTTTTAATAGAAATTCCATTCGAAAATATTCACATGATAAAGATGAGAAACATTTACAGGTTATTTTCTGAACGTAATAAAAAACAAACCGTCGTCACAGAGAAACAGACGAGGATCAGGAAACATGTCCGTCAAGTGAATTACTCTTAATTACTTATTAATTCATCGTGCACGGAGTGTGGAAGTGATGTTTCAGTACAGTTTGTATTAATGCGGAGCGTAGACTCATGGGCAGCACACATCACATGACCAGTGTAGGTCAACTGTCAAACAGGAAGTAGATAGTCCGGTAGTCATGTCATGTGACTGATAAGAACCATCAGGGAGAGAACTTTTTATTAAAGTCTCAGTTTCTGTTCAGACGTAACCATAGCAACAAGGGTGAATTTTAAAGCTGACTCAGCGTGGGCGGAGCCTCTGACAAAGCTGAAACAATCAGAAGTGATAGCGTCGACAAGAATCTGTAAGACTGTGCTCCGACTCCGTCACAGCTCTGTACGACAGTTTTTAACCTCAAATAACCTTCATCGCCCCCTATGGCCTGAGAATATATTTGTTAATGAATTGTGAAAATAAGATAAAAACTGAATTCTGAAAATTGTATTTAAGCTTTAAAGATTTTCCGCACAAACCGAAACAAAATGATGAATCGATTCTTTATGAAGAAGGATTCACTCACATGGAAATATTCTACATGGAGGCTGCAGGATCTCTACATTCAAATAAAGTTCTGTGAATTTGAATAAAGTCCGACTCAAACAACAAGAGTTAATAAAATGTTTTCACCGACAGAACAAATGATAAGAAGATGGTTTTTGAAACCGTGTTGAAACCAAACCGACTGATTTCATCTGTGCAGTCGAATCATCCTGACGAACGACCTGCAACTAAAGTCTGACGTCAGAAGAAGTTTCTGTGAACTTTATCTCCATGGAGACGGGACGCAAAGCGTTTTTCAGTCTGATGAATTTATTTTTGGTCCAATCCCTGAAATCAGCGTCCTCGTCAGTACTCCTCCTTGATGTTAAGAGGCAGGGACGAGGGGGACACCAGCCCGCTGCTGCTCGTCACCATGGGGACACTGCTGCCTCCATTTCTATGGAGGCCGCCTCCCCCTCCGCTGCCGTTGCTCCCGTTGGGAGGGGTGGTCGTGGAGGAGGCGGGCTGCTGCAGCTTCTTCTTGTTGATCTTGCGTTCCTTCGCCCGACGATTCTGGAACCAGATCTTCACCTGGAGCAGAAGAAAAACATTTTAGTATTTTATTCAATACCAGAAAACTTTTTGGAATATTTAGCGAGGACCATATTTCTCTTTTTGCACATTTACCACATTTGTAAACGGTTTTATGCTGTGAATCAGTACCTGTCTCTCTGAGAGGCTGAGAGCCGTGGCGAGCTCCGCCTTCCTCCTGATGGTGATGTATCTGCTGTAATGAAACTCCTTCTCCAGCTCCAGACGCTGGTGGTCGGTGTAAACCACACGGTACTTGTCTTTGGTCCGAGTCTTTCCGTCTGTAAAACACCGAAACGTTAGCAGGCTCCTTTAAAACAAACCTGAACGAAAGCTGAAAAACTAAAACATCATTCCTGTTTCAGGTGGTTTTATTAGAAAGCTCCGCCCACACTGAGACAAACATGGGAACAACAACTGACACCGGTGGCCAGAGTGTGAACTGCAGTCCGTAAACGTCCTGAACATCGACCAGAACACAAGTCGTGAAAATGGTGGTGACGGACGAGGTCACTGGAAACCCTTCGTATAGTTTATATATAACAAATGCTGTTGTACTTACTGCTGTAATTCACCAGGAGGGCGCTAACGAGCTAGTCTAAAATAATTATTTACTATATAATATATACTAGTTTCTAAACAAAAATACCACATTTTATTATATATATATATATATTGCAAATATAGTATTGATTATAAATATCAGAACTGACAATAATAAATATAAACTCCTCTTTGTTTTTCATTCAGTGAGAGTTAGCAGATAATGCTAATGGCTGCTGATTGGTCAGTTTGATTGTTGTAGTTCATTGATCAGATCATTAACGTTACATCTCGATGACTGTGATGATTGAGCTGCACAGAATGTGAGTTGTAGTATTTGACCTGAAATGTTGTAGAAGTGTCGTCAGTGTTTTGAATTTGACGGAGCTCAGTCTTCCACCACAGTCAAATACACAACTGCTCCATTTGAATAACTCCCTGTTATCTGCATCTCAAGGTTCATGAGCTGTTTAAGTTGTTAAGTTTATTTATACAAGTTTTTATACTAGTCTGACTTTTTCAAGAATACTAAATTTATCATCTTGAATTTTTGCAGAAATGTGTTAAATGTCCTGCAGAAGACTTCAGGAATATTTGACCACAAACTGATCGATGTGTCAACGTCCGAGTGTTGTTCTCATAAAGTCACGACTTTAATCCCAGAAATTATGATTTTAATTTTTTCCTATAAATTGGTGAGAGACAGAATTTCAGAAATTAAAGTTGTACAAACGTAAAAACAAATTCTTTAAAATTTGACTTCAATAAGTGAAGATTGACTTTTGAAGATTCCCTGCTTGGATCTCAGAGATTCTCCTTTTTCTTTTTCCTCATGAACAGACACAAAAGAAGAATTTCCAGGACTAAAATTGTGAATTTACAAATTCTGGGATTATAAATTTACAAATTAGGAAAATAATCAGACATTCTGTGAGATTATTAAATCATAGATTTCCAAGAGAAAATGAATGTTTGTCATAGTTTCACGCTGTAAGATTGAATCAGCCACGAACTCAAACGCAATGAAGTGAATGTAACGATACAAACTAATTAATGAAATTTAAAGGTGAGCTGAACATTTAACTCAACTTTTATCAAAACAAACTACAATTGATTGTCAATATTTTCTTATTTATTCTTTAATAAATCTGGTTGTAATCATATAAATGTTCATTATATCAAAGATATTCACTGATATTAAAATATTCACCAATAATAGAATATGCATTAATATTTTAATACACACACTCTCTCTCACACACACACACACACACACACACTCACACACACACACACACACANTCAGAGTCTTTATCTGGATTATTTTTTTCCCGTAGTTGTTAAAAACCAGACGAATTTGTTTTTATCAGTTTTTTTGATCAATTCAATATTTTTCCTCTTTGGTTCTGAGAGTATTTTGAAAATGGAAACTTAAGTTCATCAAGACATCAGGTTACAGTTTAGAATTCTTCAGATTTTAAAAGTTTCCTGCTGAATATTGGAGATAAACTGGTTTTTATTAACTTTATTTTACTTGTCTGCGATGCACGGCCCACAACAATGCATCACTAATGGTGCTCATCTAGTACTTTATTCAGTTTATTTCTATTGTTATATAAAAGCTGTATGTTATATACGAAGTAAACATGCACACACTCTGCTGTGGACAGAATCGTTGAGGAGTAAAGACCTTGTTAAACTCAATGTGTGTCAGGACTGTAAATAGTTGTAAACTATTAATATCTGAGCTCGTCTCTGTGACCAGCAGCGACAGGTCCGTCTGAATAACTGCATTTATTATTAGAAAGCTTCTGTGAAATGGGAGGAAGTCAGAATTATAACTGTGGACTGATCCAGGGAACGTCTCGTTTCTGGTTCGAGTTGTATTTGAAAACATCTCGTTTAAAGCGGCAGATCTCTGCACCAACAAGTTCGAATGAGCTGCAGTTACAAGGAAGACGATCCGTTGAGTCACAGGAGCAGCAGGAAATAACAGCGCCGCTGAATTCACGCCTGATTTTCAACGGTTATTTTTAACACGTTTTTTTAAATGATCAGTGTTTTCATGACTTTTAAGGCTGCGTGTAAACTCAGCTCAGTGAGAAGGAGGCGATACTCATCTGCTGCAGTTCACTGCGTCTATAAATAGTTTGACCCATTGAAACTGGAACGTCTCCCACAGAAGCTCCGTCGAACCCTTAAAGCTGCACTTCTCTCATTTTTTTTTTTTTTAAAGTGGCTCATCTTCCGCCAGGTTTCCAGAAACACGAGGAACGATAATATTTCTCCTGCTGCATGTTTGAATTTTGCTCATACGTCGGCTCCATCGGTTCTGTAAGAAGATGCGTCTCCTCTTCCTCCACAACGATCTGAGAATCCAGCCACAATATCCCCGGATACAAACATCTTGCCCTGTTTTTATATCGGCAGATAACAAACTTAAACCGAATTTATCGGAAACATGAACACTTGAACAAACATCAGGGTTTAAATCTGTGTAACACGTCAAAACCATCTTGAGTATTTGAGTTTGGCCGAAGTCCCATCTGCAAACATGGAGGAGGCTTCACCGGAGGAGCTGTCATCTTCATTCACAGTCTCTGATTCACCACAACATTTTTATTTATTATTAACTATTTTACACAGTTTATGTGACAAACAAAAACATATTTGTTCGATGTTCGACCTCACAAATCAAATCACAGAGTGTAAAAGAAACTTGGAGTATTCAGAGAACTGCAGTTTCCTGTTCTGTGATTTTGGGATAATATGTCAAGAAAACTTGTTTATATTTGGCACAAATGTTCACTGGGACTGAATCAAAGAACCGATGAAAGGAAATTAGTCGTCAAAGGTCAAAGGTCACCGTGAGCTCATAGAACATGTCCTAACTAGAATGTCACTCGGTAAAGTTCACAGCTCCACAGCTGTCCCCTCAGGAAACCACAGTTCAATTCACCGGATCTGGATTTTTATTTGGATCGGCACCAGACTTCCTAAATATCAGTCTCCTCATCACTGCAAGAGAAGAGAAGAGAAGAGGTGTTTCCTGCAGCTTGACTGGTTGGTGGAGACAAACGATCCCATCGGGGACATTTGTCCATTCGTGTCTCGGCCACTTTAATAATGATCCGTCTCTGTTTGCTGACTGTTCTTCATCCTTCTTCTTTACCAGCTCTGCTCTTTGTGTTTGTTTAAATGATGCTGCCTCCTGATGTTCTGTGGATGATAAGGAGTCACACTAACATTTACATGTAGGGACTGTGTTCCTCCTCTGCTCCTGCTCTCCCTCTCTCCATGTTTCCCCTCCCTCTCTCTCTCTCTCCCTCTCTCTCTGTGTGAATGCCACAGGCCTCTCACCCCTTTGGTCCAGATTTAGACCTCAGTCTTTCCCAGACTTCCAGCTGTCTGAAGCCGCCCGCTGCTGCGTCCACTCCCTCGTCTTTTTCTTTTGTGTCCGATTCTCCCTTCGTCCCTTCCTCTCGTCCTCTGTCCTCCTTCACCATGCGTGGACTCTTTCATCACCTCTCTGTCTGACATGGTGGCAGATCACAGATGTTTCAGGGCGACCGTGTGTCGGAGTCTCGCAGTCTTTCGTTTTTATGCCCATGTTTTCACCGGTCGGTCTGTTTCCACAGAGGCAGGAGTCCTGCTCCTCTCCCCCAGCCATGGAGCCTCTTCCTGAGGTAAAGCTCTCAGCTGACTCCCCCTGCTCTGTGGGTGTGTGTGTGTGTGTGTGTNACACACACACACACACACACACACTCTCACACACACCGTCTGTCCTGTGACGCTTCACTGCTTCACATTAAAACTTGTTTGGTTGAACATCTGTGAACTGATGAGTTTCTGCTTCATTTGTTAGAAAGTAAAAACCACAGACGTTAATCACATTAGTGTTTTCACTCGTTTACTTTACACACAAAATGATTCTGTGGGTTTTATAGGCTCCGCCCACACTGACATGTTTTAGTTTTCAAACTCATCACTGTTGCTATGGTTACACCGCTCGTCCGCACATAAAAACGTCCAGTGTCTAGAGACCTTTCGGAATCGTTTTATTCTGACAACACCAGGTTTGTGTAACTACGCTTTAAAACTAAAATATTCTCTGTTCACTCTCATACAGCTGAAAACATGTGGTGTAAACAGGAAGTGGATTCAGTTTCTGTCCATCCAGACTAAACTTGTTTTCAGACATGAGAACAACTCAGCAGCAGGTTTTCAGCTCAGACTCGTTCAGCATCAGATCCTCCTCGTTCTTCAGGTGAGAGGTGGAGCAGACAGACAGGAAGTGATCATGTGATCATGTTTACATCACCTGACACCGTTGTCAGCTCTCATCACCACAAACTGTCTCCACGTCTTCGTCTCTCTTCTATGTGTGTGTCAGCACTTTGTCTCCAGAGACATTTGTTTGTGTTTCTTCATGTTTGTGTCACGTGTTAGAAGCTCATCACCCCCCCACTCCCTCACTCCCTCAGTGGAGGACGCTCTGCTGTGTCCTCACTTCTCCTGGACTTAGACTTTATACAGGGGTGAAGGAGGAGACAGACAAACTGAGTCTCACTGTCCTCCAGAGAAGATCCAGAGACCTGAGGAGTTCAGTCTGAAGCAGCTTTTGACTGAGGCTCCGCCCACACTGACACGTCATCACTGTTGCTATGGTTACTGGTGGAGACGTGTGTGAACTGATCTGGTTTCAGTTTAAAAACTCTGGTTTGTGTTTTAGTCTGAACTCAAACTGAGACTTTTATAAACGATGACGCTCACGTCCTCTTCTGATTGGTTCTCATCAGTCACATGACTCGACTACCAGCGGTGAACACAAAGCGTCGCTAACACTTCCTGTCAGGAGCAGCTCCACCTCCTCCCTGCTCTGACTCTTCACCATCACTGCTCCTCCTGCAGAGGAGTTTCTGTTGCTAAGCAACCAACAGCAGAGGAGACACTCTACTTCCTGTTTACATCACATGACCAGTGGAGGTGAACGGTCATGTGACATGTTCGTGTGAACAGAGGTTTTTTCCGATCCAGACCCCGATCATCAGAGGATGGAACAATAATACTACATTACCCATGAGCCTCAGCCTTCAGAAACACTATCACAATTTATCCAGAAGAAGGATTCATTCAGGCTTCACTCAGGATTCATTCAGGATTCACTCAGGATTCANGTGTGTGTGTGTGTGTGTGTTACTATTCTTAACACTTGTTTTTATCACTTGTGCGTCATCCGTTGATATTTATCTTTTTTAAAGTGAAGCACATTCACAGCCTGTGTTTGTTTCACATGGATAAAGTCCAGATCAGATGTGAGAACCAGATAATCCAAACAGCTCTGGGCTCAGAGGCTGATGCTGAGATGGAGACGAGGGCGAAAGGTCAGACGAGAAAAATCAGAAAATAGTGCATCGTAAAAACTGCACTAAACACGGTCACTGCTAAATGTTATCGATATTATCGATGAAGCAGTTTCAGTTGAGACACAAGAACAAAAACAAGTTGACTCCAAGAGAATCACCTCGACTGAAACTAAGATCTGACTTTAAAAGGTATTAAACAGCCGCCTGGTGCTTCATTAAGATCCTCGTGTCATCATAATATATTATAAATACAATATAGAATTTCTCTACTTGACTTTAATAGTGAACTTTGTGTGGGTGTGTGTGTGTGTGTGTGTGTGTGTGTGTGTCTGCACTGATACTAATTTTGAAGCCGTTGAGCTGTGAGATGTAAACAGAGCGTCTGAAACCCGGGTGTTGATTTTATTAGAACATTTCTACTCATTCTGTTCGATTCTCTTATTTTTATTAATATTCCTCAGGACAAACTGTCTCTTTATAATTCTGTCTTCATTTGGTTTTAATGATGATTAGTCTTTTATTCCTCGTGACATGATTTCTTCTTCAGCGTCTGAACCTGACTTCTCTGTTTGCTTGTTGTCTTTTATCAGCTCTGGGCCGGCCTCATGTTTTATATATAGCTCGCATGACCTCAGCAAGCTTTAAATCAAAGTTGTGATCCACGCACAATGTTCTCACCTCCTCGAGCCGGAGCTCTGTGAGGTGCTGAAGCTGACCGAGGCCCAGTTTAACGTAACGATCGCAGTGTGAACGTCCTAATGATCGTTTCAACCTTCCAGCAGCAGGTTCAGACCATGTGAGGCCAACGGACACTTCACAGCTGCTCCTAAAGACTTTTCACCGCAGCTTCCAAACCAACGGATGAGGGCAGGGCCGTCCCTCCCTTCCCTCTGTCCCGTGAAGAAGAACTTTTCATCCAAGTGTAGATGAAAAGCAGTGCAGGGGCCGTGGGGGGTTTGTTCTTGCTGTGAGTTTGTTTGATCGTAATGTTAAATTGGTCGAACGCTGATTTGTTCCCTCGTCCAGGTTCCGTTATTTGAAATGGACGAGGATGAGGAGGAAGATGCTTCCTCACGGAAGAGCAGAGGTAAACAGCTGAGTGTGTAATTCCAGCCTGACTGACGTTGCTGATGCAAATATCAAATACAACCCCCCCCACCCCACAACTTTTATCCAGATTGTAAAAATATTAATGTCATTGTTGGCGCCCCCTGCAGGCACAGACCCTGACACGTTCATATACATGAACTTCATGAAGAGTCACTGCTGCTACGACGCCATCCCCACCAGCTCCAAACTGGTCATCTTCGACACAAAGCTACAGGTACATTCACAGTGACATGGGGTGTGACGATAATTCCTCCCTCTCGGCAGATGAAGAACCTCTGTCTCTCCCCAGGTGAAGAAGGCGTTCTTCGCTCTGGTGGCTAACGGTGTGAGGGCGGCGCCTCTGTGGGACGACAAGCTTCAGTGTTTTGTGGGTGAGCCACAGTTCATCCGCCTCTGATGCTCAAACACACACATCAGCAGCAGCGAGGCCAGATGGGAAAGATTGAAGTTTCGTGCCAGAAGCTTAAATTTACATTATTTTTGTAAAATCTATGGCGTGTGAGTTATAACCAAGAAAATAGATCAACAATCAATTTAAAATTATGTCCTTTAAGTAACTTAAATTACTTTATATACTGTTGTAAAACACATCAACATCGCCCACAAATCTGAGTACTGGTAAAAACATGCTGAAGTAGATAAACTGAGTTTAACTTAGTGAGATGGTTCAAGCTGCACCTTTGATTCAAAGACATATTCAGGCTCTTCTTCACACACAAACGTTACCAACCATCTGTTTAGTACACTGATTATTTGAACTCCTCATATTGTCCCTAAATAATGAGATTATCGTTCACAGTGGGAGTTTTGACTTTACTTGTCGTAAGTAGTGTTTGAGTGTCACCAGATTTAAGTGATGCGATACAACAGTGTGAGTTGAGTGTGTGGACATCATCTTATCTAATTAAATCAGTGATTTTGTGATGATCACTCTGATCTGAAGGTTTGAGACGCTGGGTTCTCTTCTACTGGAGCTCTGAAGGTTCAGGTTTCTTCACTGTAGTTTCCCATGATGCCAGTGCGTGTGTGTGTGTGTGTGTGTGTGCTCATACTCGGAGGAAAGCAGGTCAGCGACATGACATTTGTGTTGCGTTACAAACTCAATCCCCTCAACGTGCAGAGCCGACCGTCACGACACCGGGTCTGTGGGTGTCGGTTGTCTGCTCGTAATTAAAACGGCTGCGGCCTTTAACGTGCAAACCAAGCTCACGTTCACGTGTTTGATTTTCAACCTAAAGTCAATGTTAATGTTTGTGAACGCTCGCTGAGGCCACTCACTGCTGCAAAATACAAAAACACTGTGATTAAGAAGAATTTTCACTGTCAACGAGGTTTAAAACAACTTATTTTTCATCTTTCTTGTAAATCAGTTTGTTCTTATTACCGAGATTATACTTAAAACAGATGGAGACATGGTGACACAATCACTAGTGGGCAGCAGAATAACGTCTGGTGATAAATCCATGATTGATGATTGCATTGTGTTTGTCTGTGTGTGTGTGTCTGTGTGTGTGTGTCTGTGTGCATGTGCGTGTGTGTGTGTGTGTGTGTGCAGGAATGCTGACCATCACCGACTTCATCAACATTCTCCATCGATACTACAGATCTCCTCTGGTGAGCTGTCGTGTCTGTGTTGACGTGACACCACAGAGACGTCACATTAATTCACATGTGCAATGATGACAGTAAAATATAAACGACACGTCGAACCTGCTGGATCTGAGAAGTCTGTCTTGTCTGCAGGTTCAGATCTATGAGCTGGAGGAACACAAGATCGAGACGTGGAGAGGTCTGTAAAACATCCAGCTGCTCGTACAGCAACAAAACTCTTATTATATAGAATCACGTGTATTTACTGGAGCGCGCGTCTCCTTCTGTTTGCAGAGATCTATCTTCAGTACTCCATTAACAGACTGATCAGCATTACTCCTGAATCAAGGTGACTATTTTATCTGTTATTATATTTCTACTGAAGATTTCGTCTAGTACTCACTTTCTGTTGACATTGTATTCATAGTATTGCTGTTCTTTTAATATATTTCCTTGTATTAATATTTACTTGTTTCTAAATGTCCTTTTTTTCCCAAGTTTCTATTTTGATTAAATATTTTCTGGTTGTACTGCATCGTATCATATCATATAATACTGAATACTCATTTCATGTATCATATTGTATTGTATTGTTTCGTGCATCGTCTGCATGAGGAGCAGTTTTTAAAGTTTTGTCGTCCGCTCAGTCTGTTCGATGCCATCTACTCTTTGCTGAAGAATAAGATCCACCGGCTGCCGGTCATCGACCCGGCATCAGGAAACGTCCTTCACATCCTCACTCACAAACGCATCCTCAAGTTCCTCCACATCTTTGTGAGTTTGAGGATCATTTATTTCCTCCAGGCTCGGGGAAGGTTCTTCATCACACAGTTCTGATTCCACTCAAACCATCATCACAGATTTTTTTTTCCTGCCTCTCGTAGGGATCCATGATTCCCAAACCCAGGTTTCTGCAGAAGCGGATCAGTGAAGTGGAGATTGGAACTTTCAGAGAAATTGCAACGGTGCAGGAATCGGCCTCCGTGTACGACGCCCTGACGATTTTCGTAGAGAGACGAGTGTCGGCTCTGCCTGTGGTCAATGAGCGAGGTAGCCCCGACGTCACGCTCGTATTTAACAGTTTATTTCACCTTTAAATCGCTTAAAGAGAGTTTCAGTTCTTTCTTTACATGAAAATTCACGTTGTTTAAAGGTCAAACTAACTAAAGGAGGTGAAATCTGTAGCTAACAGAATAAATTCTTTTAAAGGCTGAATATATTTAATTTTATTTAAGTTTACACGACAGAAGTGGAATCTGTCTTCATATTTGATTTATATCTGTGGTTTCTCTTCAGGCAAAGTGGTGGCGCTGTACTCCAGGTTTGACGTCATTGTAAGTCACTTCAAAATGTTACTTCATCATCAATGAAGGAATAAATCCTGTGATTTACGTGTGAAGCTTTATTAAATAGTTTTATACTTGTTTTATGTTGTTTTGGTCCCAATATGTCACAGTGTTTATTCTTCACGCTGCTGCTGAAGTAAATGTTGTTTCCTGTTGTTTTATTTCTGTCAGAATCTCGCAGCTCAGAAAAACTACAACAACCTGAACATGACGATGCAGGAGGCCGTCGCCTCCAGAGCCTGCTGCATGGAGGGGGTCCTCAAGTGTTACCCTCACGAAACACTGGAGACCATCATCGACCGCATTGCAAAGGCCGAGGTGACACACACACACACACACACACACACACACACACACACACACACACAAAAATGTATTTGAGGAACTTTTCATCTTGGTCCACATCTACCAACATGGAGGAGACAGGGTTTTTGACCTGTAACTGCAGCCTCTCGTGAATCCCGTGTTGTTTTGTTTTTGTTTCCAGGTGCATCGTTTGGTGTTGGTCGACAGTGATGATGTGGTCAGAGGGATTGTTTCTTTATCGGACCTCCTACAAGCTCTGGTCCTCACCCCTGCAGGTATTGATGCTCTGTACTCCTAACTCCAACCCCTCCATCCATCCCTTGCTCTGTCTCTCAGTCCCTCGGTTATCTGTCCACCCACCTCTCTGTCCGACGTCCTGCCTCCTCCAGTGAACACAAGTGTTTCCCACCTGCCAAACTCTTCTTCATCCAGTTTTTCATTCTCCTGAAGACCGAGGGTCTTTTTTCTCGACCTGTGTGAACCTTTCCGGTGTCAAAAGCTCCTGATCTTTTGAACTGTACCTTTTTAAATTCCTCATCCAAGAACCTCATCCTGCTCCTCAGACATCAGCCTCCTCTGACATCTTCTTTCAAACCCTCTGAACAACTAACGCACCTCCTCCGTGACCTCATTTGGAACGGCAGCCTCTTGCCTACGTCTTTATTCCTCCTTTAAAAGTCTCTTCCGAAGCATCAAACGGAATGAATCATGTTCCCCAAGCCTGCTTAGATATGTTCTACACAATCAACAAAGACCTTCAGATCTGGATGGTTCCTTAAAACCTTGTGTTTGTGCCGTCTAGTGCTCCATCTTCCACAACAACTTCAGAAACCTACCATACCCAAATCCTCTCATTCTACCGAACCTCCGACCTTCATCTGAAGTTCCCACCAATCAGCCTTTCGTCCTCAGCCTCTCCGTTCTCTGAGGTCTCCGACACTTTCACCCAGACTTCCATCAGTCGGCCAGCGTCTTCTCGCTGCGGCTCCTCCTCTGACACCAACTAGCCACCAGCTCCTTTTATCCAGCACGACTCAGGTAGGAAACCCAACAAGCTGCTGGTTGACATGTAGGCACAGTTCTTCACTCCCGGAGCATCACATTAATGAAATGAGTGGAGACTAAACGTCTTCACTCATCACTAATGTGAGGGTGAAGACGTTTTTGCTGTAGCGAGCATGCGAGACACAGCTGAGTCCGATTCCTCGCCTCTTGACGGACGAGTGCTTCGCTGCAGACGACGGTTTGATTTAGTTTAGTCTGATTGTCTTGTAGAAACTTGTCGCTGAGAGAAACGTCTTCTACGCTGACATGTCGGCTGTGTCCGTCTCCTCATGCTGCTTCGTAGAATCATTCTTCATCCCTGTTGTTTTTCGTCATTTGTTCATAAACCAAACTGAATTTAAAACGACACCATGCACATTTTCTAACCTTGAAACAGCAGCGCCATCGTTAGTTTGAGCGACTGCGAACATGGAGAATGTTTCCACCTCATCGCTCGGCGATGGAACAGAGGTAATCAGCGGGTGTGGCTGCAGAGGGCGCTGTTGCTCAGTAACAATTACATGGTGTTGCTTTAAATAACGCTAAACCTTGCTGTGATAGTGTTTTTACTTAATTATAAAACTTTGCTGACACGTAAAGGTTGAAGACATCGTCACTCTTAACCGCTGTCAGCGCCTCACGGCGTCTCCATCATATTAAGAAACACCCTGAATACAAACATGTCAGCTTGTTTTAATACGTTTCCTAATTGGAAAAATAGTTAATCACAGAAAATCAAATATTTGAAAAAGACAATCTGCTAATGACTGATTTCTTTCATCCTCCCAGTCTGTGTGTTTCCTCTGATGTGATGTGAACATGACTTTGAGTCTCAGCTTTGATCAAAGTGTCAGATTCTGCACTTTCACTGCTTGTGGGCTGTTAACAAATGCTATAAACACTCAACACATTAATTTATAAAAATGTAAATGATAAAAACATCTCTGCTCATGTTCATTCCATCTGTTACAGATATTTACAGTCTGAGAGATCGTCCCGTCGACCCCGAAGAAAACCAGGTGGAGGCGACTCGTGTAAAACCAGAGAACAAGGAGGCGCAGCAGGATCGTGAACTGGTTTCAGTTCGAGTCTAGAGGAGGAACATTGGAGGGAAAAGTGAAAGCAGGAACACTTACGCTCTCCTCAATGAGCTCAGTGACGTGGCCTTTAATGCAACACTTCATTCCCTGGTGAAAGAGACGTTGAACTAAACCAACTTAGAAACTGAACTGGACTCAAGAGTTGAATTCGAAATCAGTTTGGAAGCTGCGTTGCTCGGATTGATTGATTTGCTGATATGATAAAAAAAAAAAAATGATTGTATAGATTTTTTTCTTAACTTTGTGGTCTTAGAATAGTTACAACTTGATGCATAAAAACTTGGAATTGTGGAATTTCAGATTTTTGTAAATGCACTTATGCTCCAATCACTGTGAAAAAAAATGTTTTGCTTTGTTTTCACACATTTTATGACTTTTTTGCTACGAGGTGATTTAGTTTTGATACGGGGAGGATCAACTGCAGGAGAGATGAATACATGATGCTACTACTAATTAATAATAATAATAATAATAATAATATTAATAATAATAATTTATATAGTTAATTAAAATATGAAACCTATGAAGATGGAAATGAAGGGATGTTTTCCTCTGAGCGATTTGTGAATGTGAAGACAGAGTTAACGAGTTTAGTTTTAACAATGCAACAAAGGTCAGGGGTCGTTTTCTTTTGAAAATGCCTTTGAGGATTTAAATATCATTATATAGATTGAATTAGCTTTTAGTTTGGTCGGCGATGAATTCCTTCAAATTGAATCTGGTCTCGTTAAAATATAAAAGTAGGCGACGTCCTCTCTGTCGGCTGATTGGACGGTCGTCTCTGTCTACTGTGTTTACCAGGGGAGGGTTTGTTAACTCTGCCAGTTTCATACATCCTGGTCTACACACGCACACACGCACACACACACACACACACACACACACACACTCACATTTATGTTTTCTGTATTCAAGAGCTGTATTTTTTAGTTTCCTCAGTCGGTGAAATATGTCGAACAGATATTAGGTCAAATCAAATTTAATTATATATCATTAAATCCTAACACAAAGGATCTCATGTGATTTTCATGTAGAGCAGATCTGAGCTTAATGTTTAGAGACTGTTCGATCTCTAAAATATAAATGGAACTTATTGACAAAACTACTTTAAGGAGTTCGTAGCACGTAATCAAAGCTAATTTAACCCAAGCTTCAAACTTTATAGGGCTGCCAGTTAAATTAATTATGTGTACAAAGGGTTGATTGCTTCAGCCTTCACATGTAAGTTTTTATTTTAATGAAACATTGATTTAATTTGCTGTAATGCTTTTTATTCTGTTTAGTAAATATATATTTATATTCTTTTATTTTAAGCCTCTCGTGCTGTGGTTGCCACATAAATAAACTTTGTTCGACTATAAAACCAGCAGGAAGAATAAAAAAACAAAACAATAAAGCAGTAAAAGAAGATAATTGACATGAGGTGAAAGTGTTGAACTCTTGAGCAGGTAAAGAAGTAAAAGTCAGTGACGACCTGTTCGTCCATCAGCCACATGTTTCCAGAACAAACAGTTGAGCAGCAGGTTGTTTAACTCGGATCGTCAACACATGCAGACACTGACACGCCACCTGATGAGGGACTGCGACTCTGACGGCAGCGATGGATCCTAAACTCAAGTAAGAGACCTGCTTCGTTCTTTAGTTGCTGCAGTTGCATTATTTTCTTTATCTTCTAACCTAAGCTGCAGTGCAGGGTGCGCGCTGTACTTTTATACATTTAAAGTACAAATCAAAAAGACAAAAGTTTAGTACCACATAAAGTTTTCCACTTGAGTTAAAGTAAATATTCACTTTTAAATCTAGTTAAACCGAAAAGTAGAATTACGTGCAGAGTGTAGCCAATATTCCCTTCTGCAAGAGTCTACTACATAAGAACTGTGCTACTGTGTATTCTGTTTAAAGCAACACTACTTAACTCTGCAGCCACACCTGGGGATTCATTCTGTTGGGCTCCGTCTCTGAACGATATCGTTTTAAGTTTTACTTTTAATGTTATGTTTTAATTCTATTGAATTATTTGCTTTATTAATTAATGCCTTGTGGAAAAGGGGAAGACTAAATGAGATTTTGTGTTTTGGTTTGTTTTGTCGATGAATTAAATGAACTTACATAAAAACTGAATATTGGAGATAAACGCTGGTTTTTATATTTTCTTAATTTATCTCTTTAAATTTGAGATCAGGATAAAACATTGACGGTTAATTAGTTCTGTCTCCTGTGTTCTATGATGATCCTGCAGGTTGTTGTGTTTTCTTGAACCAAACATGACAATCAATCAATCATCTGTCCATAAAACTTTGTGTACTTTGTGGTTGTTTTTAGAAACCAAAGGTGGGAACTACCTTTTGAGAAATGAGTTAATCTTTAGAAGTGAAGCGCAGAGGGCAGCTCCCTTCATCTAAACCACAAACTAACACAACACTGAAGAAGCTGAGCCACAGAAAGTTAAACATGGACACAGATACGATGAACAATATTTTCTTTAGAGGCGGGAGGAAGGAGCTGAGCAGGATTGTCAGGTTTAATCCACCAGATGATTTGAGTTCATTTATTGGGGCGTGTGAAGGCAGGTGAGGATGAGCTGGTTCAAAAGGTATTTACTGAAGAATCAAGTGAGGAGAATCTGTGGATAGTGTGATGCGTCATATTCAGGTTTGGTCTGGAGATGAGAAGGTAAATTGCTCTCTGTAACCAGATGTGATTCACATCTGAAGTTAGATTTCCACAAACGTCCTGGAGGCTTTTTTAGAAGAGAAAGAAAACTTCTCTGGACTTCAGCACAATGGATCCTTTTGAGAGTCCTAGATCCCGGGAGCGGTGAGCAGCTCCACTTTTAATCGCCTCTTTCGACATTTCCATCTCACGAACATCAAACCAGGAGGAGAATGATTAACACTAATATGAAAACATCAATAACACAATCTGTCTAAACTGGGGAAATGTGGAACATTTGAACAATGTTGATGTTTATTTCCACTTTTCATAGAACACAGAGGTCATCTTCTCTGATGTGACCCTTCTTACATGACTCTGATTTATATATGGTTTATTTTAAGTGTTTATGACCCTGAGTATTTTCTTTGGTGGGGGAGCATCAAGTGATTTCTTTATCCAATGTTTTTCCTTCTGTAAAATGCTGAATGCACTTTAGAGGAAACTCGAAACTCTAAACATTTTGCAGTTGAAAGTTTGTCATTTACAGAAATGTTGAGTTCATAAAATATGATACTTGTTGCAGCAATTCATAGAAACACGATCAGTTTTACTGGAGAAACGAGTTTTAAATACAAAAAGTACAAAAGAAC